GAAGGACAAGTTTGAGGAGACCCAGATGCTCAAATCTTTTTTGGCCTCTATCCTCATGATGTTTTCTGGTCCTTTTCACCATGCATAACAAAGGCATAACAAAGGATCTAGTAAATGTTCTTCTACCTTTGAGGTGGAGCACTCAGTCGGCCGTAATAGATTGACATCTCGTTTCCATGTCAATCGTTTTAGCTGGACGCTGGCGATCAACCGACCGATTCTTTTAAGGATGACTTCATCAGTCCAACAGCTATATTCCGAACAAGCGAGTGTGAGAGCATGAGTGCGTGCGAGTGCGAGAATACAACGATCCCAAGCTAGTTATTGGAGAGACACTGTCTAACTTGGTCCAATGCTGACGCACACGGTCTGGCTTTGGTACGAGGCTACGACGCGCTGCGTATTGCGTGGGCGATGTTTGACCTTGATCAGCGGTGACTCACGCTGCCTGGGTTTGATACACGGCTGTGAAGCGCTGCATACTGAGGGGGCGTTGTCCGTCTGGTCAGCACCTGGCGGAGCTGAGAGTCTCAGTAGTCTTCGGGTATTCTGTGGTTGCTTTCAGCAATCTAGCCTTCCTGATATAGTTGGAGGATTTTAAACCACCATTCATACACAAGTGTACCTCTTGCCGTCTCGATGTTTGGATAAAGGGATCGCTCAGTCAGATAATGTCTAACCGTATGCATCATTCCGCCTACTGTCATTTAGCTTAAGTGATGGTGGTGATGATTTCATAAATAGTTGCCTATCGGTAATTCATGCTGAATACTTTTAAAAAGGAGTGAAGCAAAGGTAAAATATTTTTATCGCCAAACAGCCTAGCGCACCTCCGACAAACGCTGGACTTCGAGTCCAACCGTGAAAAGTGGATTTGGGTCGGAGCGGTTCGCACTCCTTTGACACGGTTTCTCCAACAGCACGTCATTTGCCACACTTACAGCTAACTACGGGAGAGTAGTCTTGTGGGTATCGATGACGCGGCAGACGAATATTTGTAAAGGGACATTAAATAGGGACT